CCCCAAAACCCCAAAACCCCATTATATAAAGACTATTGAAATTTCTGACACTTAATAAATTAATTAAAAATAATGAAAAAGTCTAAGAGTAAAACAGGGAAGCAAGATCAGAAGATAAAGAACAATTTATACTAGCTATTTTAATACAAAAAGGCAATGTTGAGAGGAGAACTACTACCATATTTTGAGTATTAAGACATCATCAAAATGATATATCTTTGCAAATTAGTCAAAGAGACAGTAAAAGATCATTTCTAGTCTTGGAAAAATTTATCATAATTGATAGCTAGCAGGTACTCAATAGATGCAGATTAGATATTAGAATACGAATCTCTCTAAGAATTTAAACACGCTCAAAAATTGATAAAAGTTAAAGAGACAAGGTTCACATATAGAAGATTCAAAGAGTAAAATAGTGAGATTTTAGTATATGCAGGTGAAATTTGGTCTTGGAAAGAAGATCTTTAATATTGGTCAATGGAGGATAGATAAGATAGCACCTTCGGACTTCCAGTACCTTATCTTAAAACAGTATGTTGGTTTGATGCATTCTGCTGTGCAGAAAAGGTAGAACCTGCTGTCTATAATGTCTATCTGATAAATGGAGTGAAACTTGACCCTTAATCAAGACATGGGTTCGCCGAGTAAGTGAAGCTTTCTATCAATAAAGAAATTAAAGTTGGCGAGGAAATGAAAGCTGAGGAGATGTACACTACAAAATATATTCCTAAAGAAATTTATCATAAATTCCCAACAGATAAACTGACAAGAACACCAATCACTAGAATTGACCTCAGCCAAGAAAAATAGGATGTTACTGTAAAATTAATATTCTCCCAACTCAATGATTGGTGGAAAGGTGATTACCTTTTAGAAGGATTTGTTCTTGAAAAATTACCTTAAGAAAAAAAACAATAGAAAAAATAGACCAAAGGATTTGCAGAGAGTATATTTGGAGTTATCAAAGACGCTGTTGATCCAAATCATAGTACACCTTCGAATATGATTAACTAAGACAAAAAAGGTTGTATTCTTATGTGATTATCATGTTGTATTCTCAATAATTATTTTTAATTTAGTTGATTATGGATGTGAAATAAGCATCATGGGGTTTTGGGGTTTTGGGGTTTTGGGG